GATTCTACAAGCCAACAAGTGGTTCGATATTGATGGATGGAATATCTATCGATAAAATCGATCATGAGTACTATCATGAAAAGGTATAAGTTACAAGATCATAAACACAGATGAGTCAGCACACGCAGAGGCTGGTCGCGGTGCGTCTGATCAAGACAGTACATAGTTGGAAGAGGCAACAGACGGTAAGAGCGGCGGGAGTACGCTCGATCTGAGAGACGCCGACAGGGTGCACAGTGACGCCCTGTCTCTGCATGTAATGACTCGTCTGTTCGTAATTTCTTATTTTCTGATTATAAAAAAATCAAACATTCATGGTGAAATTATGGCTATTCAGGTGGCCCTAGTAGCACAAGAACCAGTTCTTTACAATGGTACTATTCGTGAAAATATTCTCTACGGGTGCGATTGGGCTACCGAAGATGATATGCTCAGATCTGCACAAACAGCAAATGCGCACGATTTTATCATGCAGCTTGAAAATGGCTATGACACGAAGTGCGGTGAAAGAGGAGCTCAGTTATCGGGTAAGAGGCTATTTTTTTAAGCTAAAGATATATAAGATGGTTAAGGCGGTCAAAAACAACGAATTGCAATTGCCAGAGCATTGGTGAGACGGCCAGCAGTGCTTATACTCGACGAAGCCACTAGCGCTTTAGATTCACATTCGGAAGATGCTGTACAGGAAGCTTTGAAGAAGTGAGCTCTAGAAAGCTGCACAGATAACGGAAAATAAAAGATTTTTGCAGAATTGCGGGCAAACTGACGGTTATCATCATAGCACATCGATTATCAACCATAGAACACGCAGATCGGATATACGTAATTGATAAAGGTCGAATTGCTCAGGTATGATCTGCAGCGATTACTATCACAAGGAATCGTTACCAGAATTTTTTTTGTGTTTTTAGAGCGGCACACATTCTGAAATGCTCAAGGACACCGATGGGCCGTATTATTCTCTCGTCGCTAGGCAAAGTAGAAGTATACAAATGTAAACATAGATGTATGCCTAATTAATATAATATATTAATAAATTATTATTTATTTGTCGAAGGGCTTAATTTCATCAGTGTGGCCACAACAGGTTTGAACAGAATTGAATTTTTTGTCTACAAGCAGCACAAGCAGATCAAAATCACCTTGCTAATGCAGCGGCGTGAAGTTCTTAGGGCATAGTTTCAACAACTTCTGAGATTCGCACTCAGCTTTCGCAATGAGGGAGTCAGGGAGTGGCTTCAAAGACTTGCTCATTCTCGGGTTCTTGACGTAACAAATA